GTGGAGCTGTGGCTGAAGAGCACAGAAAGATCAGGAACACAGCCCAGGCCCTGAGTTCAAGCCCTAGGACTAGCACAAAGATAGGTAGGTAGGTAGACAGACAGACAGACAGACAATTAAAAACATAGGAAAATAGCTGTTAGCCCTATTTAGACGATTTGTTTTTGCCCTTCCCCTCCACAAATTATACCAACATCAAATACAGTGTAAGCAGGGGTTATACCGTGGGGAGGGACATACAAAGCAACAAAGAAATAATCTTATAAATATGTTAGAAACATCACAAGAAAGAAAACATTTGAATACTTATCTTGTGGGTTCATTTCACCTAACATCAACTTATCTGACCTTTTCTGCTTTAGACAGTAATTTTTTTTAAAAAATTGTTTTCCTATTAAATAGTTGTACAGAGAAGTTTATAATTCTGTATATCAAGTTATGAGTACAAAGTGTCTTCATCACCCCGTTCACTGTTCTTCCCCATTTCCTCCTCCCATCCCTATCCTCAAAAGTTACGTAGTTCAATTTTGACATAAGGTACATTGAATATAAAGATTGCATCTTTCCTCCATTCCTGTGCCCCCCTCTCCCTATTTGGCCTTCCACTCCCAAACCTGATTCCACTTCTTGGTATTCATTTTGATAAGGAGTACATTAGTTGTTCAGAAGACAGTGAATTTTTAGGGTCATTCAATGACTGTTAGGACATATTTGGTGTTATTGCCAGTAATTTATAGACAAGCAGTTGGTTAGAAATTAGATGTAAAGTTGTATTGTTTACAGCTTGATTCTCTGACCTGCTACAGTAGCATAATCCATAGCATCACACATAGATGGAAGTGGTAGTCAAGGACCTGAGGCCTCTGCCGGACTTGTTTTCTACTTGTTGATGGAGATGTTGCTTACCACCAGAACATCAGCCTGTTGAGGCAGCCTGTGCTGTGAACAAGCCAGCATTCTGGAAAGTGAAGTGTCCGTTTTAAAACAGAGCTAGATTTTACTTATTCATTTGGCCTTAGGTCACATGAGACTGGTTATGATAGATTACTCATGTAGTTGAGTTTCAGCTGTTGAGTACCTTCTTAGAGGGAGGGAATGAAAATAACACAGGCTGTCTCCCACCCACACGGATCTTACATGCTTACCTGCATTCCAAAGAGTGAGATAAAACTAGAATGTGACAGCTGGGCGCTGGTGGCTCACGCCTGTAATCCTAGCTACTCAGGAGGCTGAGATCTGAGGATTGCGGTTCAAAGCCAGCCCGGGCAGGAGAGACCGTGAGACTCCTATCTCCAATAAACAACCAGAAAACCGGAAGTGGCGCTGTAGCTCAAGTGGTAGAGCGCTCGCCTTGAGCTGAAGAGCTGAGGGACAGTGCCCAGGCCCAGAGTTCAAACCCCATGACCGACAAAAAGAAAAACAAGAAACAAAAAGAACTAGAATGTGACCGTCATTTCTGGTGCAATTTAGAGAGCGTCTTAGAGAAGGCGGTACTTGTGCTTATCACAGAGCCTGTGGAAAAATTCATGCTGCCTGGAGTTACATCCTGCCCTTCTACCCACCCTTGTCTGCTGTCCTAACCTTTCTTTTTTTTTTTTTTTTTTTTTTGCTGGTCATGGCGCCTGAACTCTGGGCTTGGGCGCTGTTCCTCAGCTCTTCAGCTCAAGGCGAGCGCTCTACCACTTGAGCTACAGCTCCACTTCCGGCTTTTTCTGTTTATGTGGTGCTGAGGAATCAAACCCAGGGCCTCATGCTTGCAAGGCATGCACCCTACCGCTGAGCTACCTTCCCAGCCCTGTCCTAACCTTTCTAAGTCTCTGCTCACCATTCTAGGAAAAACAGTATCTGCTTTGCAGGGGTCACTGTGGAGATACGGAGTTCATATCTGGAAGGTCTGAAGATGACTTTCCAGGTACCATTTTGTATGTGTGTTTCAGTCAGTGCCACCCAGCAGTGTACCCACATCATTACCAGTGCTTCCTGCAGCTACAAATGCAAAGTAGAGCTCTTTTTGCTGCTTCTCTGAAATTCTAGAGAACAACTCAGTTCTTCACTATATTCCAAATGCCAAATCATGGAGTAGAAGTTCCCTAGTTGATTTGTTCTGCGCCCAAGAGGATGGACCCACTTCTTATTGTTTCTATCTAGCAAACTCCAGAACATGTATTGTTCAGTTATGATGACTAAACTGTCTTAATGGACAACTAGAAGTAATATTCAAATCTCTATATTTATAGTATTATTTATTGGTGGACAGTTAGATGTAAGTAGGTGGATTTAGCAAGTAATTGGAAAGTCTCAAGGTGGAACAACAATTAAATGCAGTAAGACCAAGACCTGTGACAAGAGAGTGACTTTTTCAGTCCCTTGACACAGGGCTAGTTCTTGGATTCACAGCCCCCAAATATATTTGCCAGCCGTTTCTCAACAGAGCATCGTATACATTTTATGGTTAAACTCTACTGACCTTGACCCCATCACTTCAGCGTGATCCTCATCACTTCAGATCAGAATCTGACCTAAAGAAGAGCTTTAATTCTCTAGTTCTGCACTTTGTCGTGGTTAAACCAGTGTTGGCCAGCCTACCTGGCTGTGGCCCTCTTTTCTGTATACCTGATTGGCAGGTGCTGTCTGTATGTACCTCAGTCAATGACTGGGTCTGTTGCAGTGATTTCACTAGTCTTCCTGCTTGTACTCTTGCACACTCTCCTATCTCTGCAAGAATGGATTTATGCTTTAGAGGCATGTGTTTAGAACACAGGTCACATGCCTCTAGAAACAATGTGCTCTCCCACACCCAGTATCACACCTTCTAGGTATCTTCCCTCTGCTGTACTCCACCTTCCACTCTGATCTTGCTCATTTCAATAGCAGCATCCCTCCTTGTATACCCCTTTCTGACCACAGCTCCTAAATTCCCCTCTTGGAGGCCTAGTAATCCTTCGATTCCCCAGGATTTCCCAATCATTCCAACAGGCCATCAGCCCCATGACCATAGTGGATGAAAGCTCCTCTTGATCTCTGATACGTTTCCCACCTTCCCACAGTTTTTTTCCATGTCAGTGCATTGCCAGCTTTTATATAACAGCATCTCCTCCTAGTTCTCCTTTCAAAGTGAAACCAGAGTCTGACCACTTCTCACTCCCTTTCCACTTCTGTGTTTGTGCCAACTGTCACTTCCTGCCTGGCTTGTTGGTGAGCTTCTAATCTCTCCTGTTCCCTTCCTGTTGTTGGCAACACAGCATCCCTATTAAAACTTAAGCCAAGAAGTGGCGCTGTAGCTCAAGTGGTAGAGCGCTCACCTTGAGCTGAAGAGCTGAGGGACAGCACCCAGGCCCAGAGTTCAGGCCCCACGACCGACCAAAAAAAAAAAAAAAAAAATCCCCTAAAACTTAAGCCAAGTTGCTGGACATAGGTGGCTCACACTTGTGATCCTAGCTCTTCAGGCAGCTGAGATCTGAGGGTTGTGGTTTGAAGCTAGCCTGGGCAGGAATGTCCATGAGACTAAATGAACCACCAAAAAGCTAAAAGTGGAACTATGGCTGTAGTGGTAGAGGGGTAGCCTTGAGTGAAAAAGCTTGGGACAGCACCCAGGCCCTGAGTTCAAACCCTAGGACCAACAAAAATCACCAAAAACCTTAAGTCAGATAATAACACTCCACTGCTCCAAGCTACCTGAGGACTTCTCATTAACAGGGTATGGGTTGAGTTCATACTGTAACCCCATCTCCTGATCTTTCCACATAGTCATTACCCCCTGGTCTCTGCAGCTACCTCATACCCTACACACCTACCTGAGGCTTGCTGTCTAGGATATTTGTTCCTCCATGCAGGTGTTTGTGTGTGAAAAGAGACACTCAGATGATCTAAAGAGAACTGGAGGCCAGGCACTAGTGGCTCATACCAGTAATCCTAGCTACTCTGGAGGCTGAAATCGGAGGATCACATTTTGAAGTCAGCCAGGACAGGAAAGTCCATGAGACTCTTACCTCCAGTTAATCAGCATAAAGCCAGAAGTGGAGCTATGGCTCAAGTGGTACAGCGCTATTGCCTTAAGCAAAAAAAAGCTCAGGGACAGTAGCCAAGCTCCAGCATCAGAGCACGTGTGTGCACGCACACACACACACATACAGCGCACAAACACACACATATACACACACACACAGACATACACACACACATTCAGGAGCAGAGGCTACTGGTAATCCACTGCAGGCTCAAAATCCATAATTGTTTTTCCCCATCATGTGTGCATATTAGGCCCAGATGTCTGCATGAGGCACATTGTATGCTCTCCTTAATTCATCTATTTTGTACACACAGACTAATATCTCTCTTTTACAGCAGTAAGATATGGACTGTAAGGTCAGTGAATTAGTCCTGCAAAATAGTTTTTAAGCTGCAAAGTATCAATTGAGAAAATAGATACCTTGACTTGTATGCATCATATGCTACTGTACATGGTTCTGCAGTGAATCTTCCTGTTGCTGAATATCTGCAAGTGTCTTTTGTCATTTCTAAAACATAGCGTCCTGGGGTTTCACTTTCTAGGTCAGAGGTTGGGCTTTTAAAGATTATGATTTATGCTGTCCTCTGAGAGGCGTATCCGTTTGTCCCTTGACTGTAGAGCCTGTGAGAAACTGTATGCCTTTGACCTTACTGCTGCACCGTATGCATCTGTGGCACATGGTTAACGCCTGACTTAGGACCATTTGTTATAAATGCAGATTACTGCTTTAACAAGGTTCTGTCGAAGAAGTAAAACTGCTCAACTGTATCCTTACTGTATCCTTAGAAATGGTTAATATGGCAAATTTTGTTACGTATATTTTACTACGATTATAGTAAGTAAAGCTCTGATAAATATAGTTTTAGTAATATAAATGTAGGTAGCATTAAATAAGTAGTGAGTAAGAATAGTATCTTGTAGTTACTGCTGTGGCTGTTAGTATTAGCTGATACTAAAGTTTTTTTTTCTTTTTTGTAATTTTATCATGCAGGCCAAAACATTAAGAAAACTGATACAACAAACATTTAGACAATTTGCCAACCTTAATAGAGAAGAAAGTATTCTGAAATTCTTTGAAATCCTTTCTCCAGTGTATCGATATGACAAAGAATGTTTCAAGTGTGCTCTTGGGGTAAGTATGGAAGCGTGGAGATGGTACTAGTTTGTTTGCTTTTGCTTTTTCTTATGCATGTGTACCTAAAGTTCTGGTTAAAAGAAAATCCTCCACAAAGCCTCCCTGTGCCTGTAGTTTAATAAACTTTAAGGCCTAGGCACTTTCTCTGAGCTTTTGTGCCCGAAGTTAGCACTCTACCACTTGAGCCACAGCTCTATTCTGGCTGATTAATTGGAGAGACAAGTCTCTTGGACTTTTCCTGGAGCTGGCTTCAAACTATGATTCTAGATCTCAACTGCCTGAATAGCTATGATTACAGGCATTAAGCTGTTGATGTCTAGTTAAGAAAATTAATTTATCATACTTTTCTTTTAATAGATGAATACTATTTTGTCATTTTATAGTGGGAAAAAGTACAAAAAGAACATATCGACATGAAAATAAATACGCCTTTTAAAATAGCATGCCTATGTTTATAAGTATAGTTGTTGTTTTTTTTTAATTTCAGCTTGTTATTCAATGCATTTCTCCAAAGCAGCTAATTTGTCCTTTTATGATCACTTTCCCGGGGAAATGCTGGCATCCAGTGTGCTGAAATGAACCAATATATCTGTCTAGGCAACCTTACTTGATTAGATAATGGCGACACCTCTCCCCAAAAGTGCTTTGGTTTTTTAATATCTCCATAGCCCCTGATCTAAAGTCTTTGTTTTTGTTTTTGCTTTTTTTTCTGTTTCCTTCATGGTCCTCACCTGTTGGCTTCCAAAGTCAAGCTGGATTATTTCAGTGGAACTGGCAATTGGCCCAGAAGAAGGGATCAGCTACCTGACAGACAAGGGCTGCAATGTAAGTCTGCCCTTGTGATGGGTCTTAAACTTGCTGGAGATAGAATTGTTAGAGTGAAGAGGGGATGATGTTCCTCTTGAAAGACATAATTCTCCATATAACCTTTTTCATTACATGGTGCTTCTTGTTTAGGGCTGGTGGGTGGCAAGGATACCTGGAGTCTGGCTTAAAGATTCTTCAGAGTTCCTTAATCTTGGGAAGAAATGAATCATGTAAATCATGTTTATATGTTAGTGAGGCCAGGATGAGGCTATTCCAGTTTATCTGGAGAGGTTCTGTGTGTTTATGGGTTTTTTATTACATACTTTTTTTTAACTTTTTTATTTTTTTGCAGTGCTAGAGATTGAACCAGGGCAAGCTATTTCCCCAGCTTTAAATATAGTTTTTACTGTGTTGTGTATATAATTAGAGTATATTTATAATGACAAATTAGCCTTTGAAACAGCCTCTTGAGACGATCTCCAGAGGAAGAAAATTACTTTCTTCCATTCATAATCCATGAAGTCCTGCCTGTCCTTACTTTAACTGAGCAAAATGACCTTCTGAGGGAAAATCATGTCTTATTCTCTGCAGCCAGTCCAGCTTGACAGCTCCCTCTACTGTTGTTTCTTGAAATTGATGTCTTTCTCCCAAGTGTTCAAAATTGGAATACTGACACAAGTCTAAATCAGAAAATTAAATGAAAAAGCACATCTACTAGTATGAGCCCAGAAAAGAGCCCTCAGATTAGTGCTACCTGAGCTCTTGTACAGCCTAGGTGGCTTTGAATCATGATCCTCAGATCTCATCCTCGTGAATAGCTAGGATTACAGGCTTGAGCCACCAGCACCCAGCTACATAACCAGTATTGTAGTATGTTTTTCTTCATATTTCAAACCTCACATTAGCTGTTAATTTTCAACAAACCAATCTCAGAACTCCTGAAGCTCCTCCTACCCAACTCCTGCACCCCACAGCTACTACTTTCTTGACTTCAGCACCGTTGGTCCTTTTCCTTTCTCCACCCTTCCCTTTCCCTTTTCCTTTTCTTTCTCTTTCTTTCCTTCCGTCACTCTGTCCCTGCTTTTGTGCGAACTGTATTTCTGCCAAGTAGCTCTTTAAAAGCCCAGGAGATGATTGTACAACTGCTTCCTCATGGCCTGCTTAGAGAATCCAGTCTTAGCATGTCTTTAGGAGAATGGACTGGCTGTTAGAACCTGGAGAATTTCACAGAACACTTAACAGAACTAGTAAAATGAGGCATTTATCTGTGGCCTAAGCATTTTATTTTTACTTCCCAAAGCCCACACATCTGGCTGACTTCAACCAAGTGCAGACAATTCAGTATTCAAACAGTGAAGACAAGGACAGAAAAGGAATGCTGCAGCTCAAAATCGCAGGTGCACCTGAGGTAAGGGAACCCCACACATCACCAATGGGAAGCTGAAGAATGCTGAAATTTCAGAAATAATACTTTGAGTCGGCAGTACTAGGGTTTGAACTTAAGACTCACACTTGATAAGGAGATACTGTACTGCTTGAGTTTTATCTCTAGCTCCTTTTTGCTGTGTTTTTATTGTTATTGTTTGTTTGTTATTGTTTGCTCTGGTTATTACTTGTGGCAGTATTGGGTTTGAACTCAGAGCCTCATGCTTGGTATACAGGCACTCTACCGCTGATCTAAGCCTCTAGCTCTGTGTTTTGCTTTTTGGTTTTTGAGATTAGGTGTCACTCCCTCTCCAGGTTAATGCCTGGACCAAGATCCATCCATTTTTCAGGCTTCTCATAGTTTCTATGATGTCAGGTATGTGCCTTCATGGCTAGCTTCACAGATGAGATGGAGTCTCCAGACTATTCTGCCTGGGTTGGCCAGGAGTCCAGCCTCACATTATTAACCCCCCACATAGCTCAGAATGACAGGTATATGCCACTGCACCCAGCTATGGATTGACAAGGAGTCTCACAAACTTTTCTATCAGGGCTGGCCTCCATCTATGATCCTCTCATTCTCAGCTTCCCAAGTAGCTAGGATTATAGGCAAGAGCTGCCAGCTCCCTACCTAGTCCAAATAGTTTTGAGATAGGAACTCACTTTGTGCCTGGTCTTGCACACCTGGACTGTGATCCTTTTTACACTCCCTACCACAGCTGAGTGGACAGGTGTGTGCCACCACACCTAGCCGTTTCTGTTGAAATAGAAGTTGTGAACTTTTTGTCCAGGCCAGGCTGGAACCACTGTTCTACCAGTCTCAGCCTCTAGCGTATCTGGGATGACAGATGTGTGCTACTACACCTGACTGGCAATGATGTTTTTTAAAATAAGATGACAGTTTCATGAAAGGTCAAAAATCAAAATTTTCTCATGTATCTAAGGGTTACATTACAAGTAGTAATTAATGTTCCCACAAATACAGTAGGAGACAGATTTTTAAAATCAAGAACAGTTGTAAATATGATTATTAGGAAATAGGAAGGAAATCATCTTGTTGAATTATGTGTACATGTTCACTGAGCTCTGCTATTTCCTAAACTGTCGTCTGGGAGGTTCTCTGGGCAATAGCACTCACGATAATAGCAGCAGCGGTGCTGCTTATGGTCATATGATATAACCAAGTGAAGTGACAACTTCACTATGTTGTGGTTCACCACATTTTGTAGATGAGGACAATGCTGTGCACGTGGTCATGACTGGAGTACGCACTCTAGCAGTTAGGATCCAAAGACTTTTCCCTTAATCACTGTGTAACAAAAGCAAGAAGTAGCTGTGTGCTAGTGGCTCATGCCTGTAATCTATTAGGTATTCAGGAGGCTGAGATCTGAGAGCTATGGTTCAAATCTAGCCCAGGCAGGAAAGCCCATGAGATTTTATCTCCAGTTAACCAGGAGAAAGCCAGAAATGGAACTGTGGCTCAAATAGTAGAGCTCTAACCTTGAGCAAAGAGGCTCAAGGACAGTACTCAGGCCCTGAGTTTAAGCTCCAGTACTGGAAAAAAAAAAGCAACAGTAGGGCCAGATATGGGGTATACACATTCAGGAGTCTGAGACAGGAGAGTCTTGAATTCAAAGCCAGCTTGAGCTACATAGTGAGTTCTAGGCCAGCCTTGCATACATAGACCCTCAAAAAACAACACGTAGTAAAAAACAGGAAAGAAATAAGAGGTGGCAAAAAATAATAATAACAACAACATGCTTCTTTCTAGAAGCTAGACAAAGCACACTCCTGTGGAAGGAGGAATCAGGCCTTGCGTGCTCACAGTTTTGCACCTTTGAGCAGTTTGTCTGCAGCTCTTCTCTCTATCGTAGCCCCCTCCAATTGGGCCTCTTTGCCACTGTCCTGTCTCTGATCCTGTAAGCTTCATGACAGATTTATGAGCCTCTACAAGTTCTGTTGATTGTGCAGTCAGCAAATATTACAATATGACATTGAAAACATGTAAAAATTTCCTGAAGAAATCTCAGTAATGAGTTTGGACCTTCATTTTCCAAGCTTCGGTTTTAGGGGGTCAGTAAGGCAAGGTCTCACCATGTCACCTCGGCTAGCCTGGAACTCACGTTTCTCCAGTGCTGGCACAGCAGGCATGTGTCACACACCCAGCTTCTCCTTTCATTTTTTTTTTTTTTTTTTTGGTCCAGTCGTGGGCCTGAACTCTGGGCCTGGACGCTGTCCCTCAGCTCTTCAGCTCAAGGCTAGCGCTCTACCACTTGAGCCACAGCGCCACTTCCGGCTTTTTTCTTTTTCTTTATGTGGTGCTGAGGAATCGAACTCAGGGCCTCAGGCATGCAAGGCAACCGCTCTACCACTGAGCCACCTTCCCAGCCCATCTCCTTTCATTTTATTGTCCCTCAAATAACATTTAGGGTGATGCAAGCAAAATAAGTTGTTCACATAAGAAATTATGAACAGTCATATGAATAAGAACATATCTATATGTCTCTCATAGCACGTAAGAAATTTATCCTATAGGACGTGTTTGATATCAAGAGAGTGATGTTTAACCCTCTGGGTAAAACATGCTGTATGTTTCAGCTTGAAAAATTGTGATGGTTAATAAAAATTACACACTAGTTTCACTTCTGAAACAAATGGTGCCTTAACTTACCGATTATCTAAATTCTCCTCCTAGATTGTTGAGGAAGGGCTGGACATTCTGAAGAAAGTATTCTTTCTAGCTCCTTTTCTTCTAGAAGTGAGCCTTTGTTTAAATGACTTCACTCTGGATTTGTCTTCTATTAAATTTCCTAGGAATAAGGCCCTTAAATATCCAACTTCCTGTTTCCCTCCAATCTTGAATCCTGACAAACCTTGTCTCATTCCCATTCCTCTGTTTCTAAGTGTTAGTAGGAGTCTGATGTCATAGCACAGCTGTCCCTTTGATACTGCAAGAACAATAACGTCTCTTTCTTGATCTGTCCCGTTTAGCCTCTGACAGTGACGGCACCATCCCTAACTATCGCAGAGAACATGGCTGACCTGATAGACGGCTACTGTCGGCTGGTGAACGGAGCAACGCAATCCTTTATCATCAGACCCCAGAAAGGTAAAGTTCTATTTCTGTTACTGCCTGCAGCTCTTCATGTGAATGATTAGGTCGTCTCACCTCCAGCAGCCTGTTCTGCATGTTGGTAAAGGCATAAATGTGAAGGCCCGATGAGTTCCTGAGCCTTGTATTACCTAAATGCTTATTTTCAATGGGGAAGAGGTATCAGTGATTCAGGTCACACAGGCCAAGACCTGTGTGACAGAGCACAGAGACAACCTTATCTTCATTCACAATACCGTTTTGTTTTTTTAAATACAGTTTTATTGTTATTAAGGGGCTATAAATCAAGTAGTGAGTATATTTCTTTTTAGACAGTTTCACTCTTTCACTCTCCAACATGCCATATTTTGAGCAGCCTTCTTAGGGTATTCTCTAATTTGCTATTCTTGAGATTATGATGTTTTAAAACAGTGTCATTAGTAATTTATATTGAGTAAAGTCTTTTCTTTTTTCTATATAAAGCTTAGGATAGTCCAAGAACAAAATTAATTCTAAATCATTGTGTGAAATCAAAAATTTGAGTGAGTAAATATCCTAGAAATACGGCTGTGTCATTTCAGAAGTGAGGTGGACTTAGCAGCATAGAGCAAAGATGCTCCGGAGGGCCCTGAAGTATTGAAATAATCCAAGAAGCTTTCATGCAGCAGGAAGCCGGAAGGGCCTGGGTGTGGAGCCATAGCTGAAGCTTCACATTGCAAGCTGTGATCCCATGTTTAAATGAAAGCCTGGCTTTCTGTTTGCAGTCTTGCCCTCCATAAAGTAAAAAGTGGCACTTGTTTTTGTAGTCCTGGGAGGATAGAAGGTTTCGTGAACTGAGAGGATCAGGGTGGTACATGACCTAAATTCAGTGATTATTGTTCCCCTTAGTGCTCTCAGTAGTGGTGTGATGTTGACACCTGTTTTAACCTTGATTTTGTGTGAACAAGGTATGGTACCTACCTTGTAGGGTTGGTAGGTGTGTCCTAAATAGTAACCACTGTGACAAGTGGGTCTTCTGTACATGGCATTAGCCTTTATTGCTCAGGCCCCTTCCTGCTCAGACCTCAGTGATGTCCTGGATGGTATATGTCCAAGCAAGCTGATCTAAGTGAAATGGTGACCAGAGGAGAGACCGTGGGAATGAGGGTGCCTACCTTCCCAGCAGGAAAGTGAGAGCAGGTCTAAAGATAGGACGGTGGTATGTTGTGGGTGTGTGCACTAGTCTAACCCTTTCTTAAAAAGGTGATGATATTGTCATGCTCTGTATACAAGAGCCCCAGGTGTGTGCGTAAAGACAGGATGTGGTGCATCTAGAACTGTCTTTCCTAGGAAGGTCATGCTAGAAATGCCTGTTTGTGTGGGATTTTCCTAAAATGCGTGTTTTTGTTGGTTTTCTCTATATCAAATATCATTGAAGTTGCCTTCAGGAATGTCTGAAGCTTCCTTTAGTTGCAGCCTTTATAGCCATAAGCATTTAAGTTTTCACTTCATGCCTTAAATAGAAGAAAGTTAGTTTTTTTTTTTAAATGTTTCAGAGTTCCTTCACAAAGGAGAATGCTTTGGCAGCAGATGTTAGTGTGACACATTGCTCCTCTCCATTTAGTAAATAATTCCATTCTAGCTTACCACAGTGTCCTTTCTCAGTATGTTTGTATGCATATTTAATACATGTTTACTCATACCAAATGGGAAGCACTGAGCCATATCAGGGCTTATGCTCACCATATTTCTTTTTTTTTGGGGGGGGGGGGCGGTCCGGTTGTGGGGCCTGAACTCTGGGCCTAGGCGCTGTCCCTCAGCTCTCCAGCTCAAGGCTAGTGCTCTACCACTTGAGCCACTGTGCCACTTCCGGCATTTTTCTTTTTTAAGAAAAGATGCTGGTGCTGAGGAATCGAACCCCGGGCCTCAGGCATGCAAGGCAAGCACTCTACCACTGAGCCACCTTCCCAGCCCCTGCTCACCATATTTCTATACTGATTTCATGGCCACTTAGCTTTCTGCTGCTTAGGGAAAATCATTTTAAGAGTTCCATTTTAGATGGGAGAGCACAGTGGAAATGCTGGTCATGAAAACATCAGCACTGGTTGCCACCAGCTTTTTCCTCTGTCTAGGGAAGAAGTTATGCTTGATAGCCATTTTATTCTGAATTGCAGCATATTTGTGTGTTGCATGACCTTTTTTCCCATGTGGTGCTTGGAGTCAAACCCAGGATTATGTGTATGATAGACACACACTCGCTCACTGAGCTGAGCCCTCAGTCCTTCTTTTTTTTCAGTATGCCTATCTAAGTATTGCATTAGAGTGAAATATTAAAGATATTTAAAAGTATAAAACCATGAAACAAAATTTAGTTCCTTCATAGCCCCTTTCTTTCTCCTACAAACAAAACATTTTAGGAAAATAATGGGTATATTTTCAAAAATTTGATACCTAAACATTTTGAAATCTCATTGAGGTTATTGCAGTATATCAAATATAGGGTAGGGAAGGGAATGTACTCTTTGGACTCTGGGACTCATATTTGGTAGGTGGGCACTATACTGCTTGAGCCACACACCAACCCTTTTTTGCTTCAGTTTTTTGTTTGTTTTTGCTGGTCCTGAACCTTGAGCTCAGGGCCTGGGTTTTGTCCCTGAGCCTCTCAGTACGCAAGGCTAGCACTCTGCCACTTGAGCCACAGCACCATTTCTGGCTTTTTCTGAGTAGTGCATTGGAGATAAAAGTCTCATTGATTTTTCTGTCTGGGCAGGCTTTGAACTACGATCCTCAGATCTCAGCCTCCAGAATAGCTAGGATTACAGGCATGAGCCACCAGTGCCCAACTTGCTTCAGTTACATTGTAAAATAAGATCTCAAGTTTTTGCCTAGGCTACCCTCTGACCAGAATTCCCCTCCCTGTGTCCCTCAAATAGCTGGGGTTATAGACACACCATCATGCTGAGCTTATTTATTGACATGAGGTCTAACTTTACCTAGGCTGACCTCAAACTGATCAGCCTGATCTTTACTTCCTGAGTAGCTATGATTGCAGGGATGTGTCACCACACCTAGCCAAATACAGGGTATTTAAGTATGTAAATATATGAACTATTAAAATTATTCTTTTTTTTAAAGTACCTGTTATTAAAGCTTTTTAAAAATGACTCCTTAAGCCCTAAGATAAAAATGTATTGCCTAGTTGAAATAATGTTAAAGTCAAACCTTCTGAATTGATTGTAGTAAAAAATATATGTGGGTAAGGCACAGAACATTTTTAAAGGTTTTTAAGAATTTCTTGAGAATAATGGTTATCAAGGCGGGGGGGGGGGGGGCGGGGGAAGGGCAGGGAAACGGGAAGAATTTGATTAGTAGGTTCTAAGTTGGAGTAATAGGAGTAAGAAATTGGTGGCAGGAATGAGCTAGGTGTAATGGCTTTTATCCATAATGCCTATATCCAGGAGGCAATAGGAGTTTGAAGTCATTCTGGGTTACAGAGCAAGACTCTGTTTCAATGAAAAAGTTGTGAGGTGCTGTTCAGACTAGAATTACTACAAATAATGTAGTTAAGGTAGAAGAGAGAAATTTGAATATTTTCACCATAAAGAAATGATAGTCTGCCAGTTGGGAATGTGGCTTAGTGTTAGAGTGCTTGCCTAGCATGCATGAAGCCTTGAGTTAAATTTCTCAGCACCACATAAACAGAAAAAGTTGGATGGGGTGCTGTGGCTCAAGTGATAGAGCACTAGCCTTGAGCAGAAGAAGCTCAGGGACAGTGCTCAGGCCCTGAGTTCAAGCCCCAAGACTGGCATAAAAAAAAAAAATGGAAAAAGAAATGATAGTCTGGGAGAGAGTGAGGAAAGGGAAGACATTATATGAAAGGCAGTGTACTCATTCCCTGACTAATATAACTATACATTATATCACCTTTATTATAACAATGAAGTAATTTTTTTTTTAAGAAAGAAATGATAGCCAGGCACTGGTGGTATAAACTGTAATCCTAGCCACTCAGGAGGCTGATACCTGAGCATCACAGCTTAAAGCCAGCCATGCAGGAAAGTTGGTGAGACTCTTATCTCCAATTAGCCAGCAAAAAGCCAGAAGTGGAGCTGTGGTTCACATGGTAAAGTGCTAGTTTTGAGCATTAAAAAAAAAAAAAAAGCTCAGAAACAGCGCCTAGGCCCTGAGTTCAAGCCCTAGGACTGACACCAAAAGATAAATATGTCAGTAGATACATATTTAGTCTGGTTTAAACACTATACAATGAATACATATATTGAAATATCATATGGTATCCAATATATATAGTTCTTATGTATCACTTAAAATTAATTTAAATACTAGAAAAATTTTCAAATAAAATGTGTTTTTGCAAAAGTATCTACAAATGATACTTTTCTGATAAAGTGCTTTAAAATTGTATATTAAAAACCTGCTCAGAGGTTCTCCCAGTAAGTCTCATGTGAACTCTGAGCTTTCTGCCATTCCATCATTACTATTACAGATGATGTTGATTGATAGAAATATGGTAGAGCTACAAGCCAAATGTCCTGAATGAAGTGTTGATGCATGACATTGCCCCTCAGCTGTCAGGCCTTTTTACCTATCCTCATAATCACTTTTGCAATCTAGTAAAATTGTGCTCAGAGTACAGAATTGTGCAGTTTAACATGGAGCCATAACGCCACCATCTGAAGTGGTTTTCACCCCTTGGAGGGATTTCAGGATAGCTCAAAACCCATGAGGAGGAATGCAAAATTGATAGGTTTCCTTACATGATTTAAGTACTTCCTGTAGCCAGGTACTACTGAGCTCACACCTATAATACCACTATTTGACACTGATACCTGGTGGATTGAGATTCAAAGCTAGCAAGGGAGAAAAGTCCGCAAGACTTTACATCAAATTAATCAGAGGAAAAAAATATGGGGTAAAGGTTATGGATCAAGTGATCAAGTGGTGGAGCACCAGCTGAGCAAGCAAGTTGAGTGAATGTGAGCCCCTGACACCCAGTCCTAGTATTGTCAAAGAAACAAAACAAATAAACAAAAACTTGATTTAGTAAAAGAAGATGGAAAGGGGTGGGAGAAAAGAGCTGGCTTCATGATCATCCTGGTCTCAGCCTCCCAAGTGCTGGGATTTAGGGTATGTAGTGTGCCAGAAAAGGCTGAATATTTTAAAAGCTGTGAAAGAGAACAAAAGTGCTTGTGCCAAACACAATACAATTTAAATCTCTTTATTTTCAAGTGTTCTTCCAGATGATGGAATAAATACACCCCCGTATGTGAATGGTTCTTCTTAGAGGGATGGACATCACAAATGTCTGGTAAACCTATACAGAACATGATAGGTATCTGGTGTCCTTTGCATTTATTTTTTTTTTGGGTCCGGTCATGGGACCTGAACTCTGGGCCTGGACCTGTCCCTCAGCTCTTCAGCTCAAGGCTAGCGCTCTACCACTTGAGCCACCTTCCCAGCCCATCCTTTGCATTTATTAAAGTGTTACACATGATGGAACAGGAGCAATCACTCTGTGCAAAGCCATTCAGGAACATTTGACTGTACAGCTTTCCTGAAGGCTGCTGAGTATTCTCTGCCATCAGCATGTCTTCTCTGATACATGTTTAGGATGGAAATTAGTAAATAAACCAGGGCACATGTTAATGACACAGTACTACATAGCTATTGAAAATGATGTGATGTGATAGCTTTTTATGTGTGTGAGAGAGAGAGAGAGACAGAGACACAGAGCGTGAATATGTATAACAAATCATATGGAAAGATGAGTGGCCAGCTAGACAGGGAGTAGGTGTAGAATTAGAACTGTCCTGAGCAGGGAGCTCCTTCATCTGTTGAACTTTATTCTCACATTCACTTCCTTTTATTTAGATTTGCTTCAGTGAGTCAGTACTAATGTGTCATTAAAGACCAGTAGAGGGCTGGGAAGGTGGCTCAGTGGTAGAGCGCTTGCCTTGCATGCCTGAGGCCCTGGCTTCGATTCCTCAGCACCACATAAGCAAAAAGAAAAAAGCCGGAAGTGGCGCTGTGGCTCAAGTGGTAGAGCGCTAGCCTTGAGCTGAAGAGCTGAGGGACAGCGCCCAGGCCCAGAGTTCAGGCCCGAAAACCTGACCCCCTCCCCCCCGCCCCAAAAAAAAAACAAAAAACAAAAACCCAGTAGAGAAAGTCTTATTTGAAAATGTAAAAGTCTTCATTCTAAAAATAAAAATGTAAGATAATGCAAGATATATTCTTAGTCTTAATGTAATGTGTTCAGAGAAATAAGATACATTCATGAGTGGCATGAGAACTCTGTGCTACTCATTTAACAATAGTGGCTGACACCTTTAATCCCAGCTCCTCAGAGGCTGAGATCTGTGCATTACAGAGGCTGAGATCTGTGCATTATGGTTCAAAGCCAGCTCAAGGCAGCAAAGTCCATGAGATTCTTATCTTCAGTTAGTGATCAAGAAGCCAGAAGTGGAGCTGTGACTCAAGTTTTGGAATACCAGCCTTAAGAGGAAAAGCTCAGGGACAGTGGCCAGGTCCTGAGTTCAAGCTTCAGGACTGTCACCAGAAAACAAAAACCAAAAAACCCACCTCCCAGAATCTAGTATTGTGGTTAATGAACACAGGTTTTTATCATGTTATCTGTGGCCATTCTTGTCATTATTGTGTAACCTACCATTCTATAAATTTGCTTTCCTGGAGCCTGCATTTTTTTACCACCTTATTTACTACCTTCTTTTGTCCATGCCCAGCGTCTTAGGAATTCCATACTGTCCACAAATAGTGACTGATTTTTTTTTTTCCTCAGAGGAAACAGAAGTTACAGCAGAGCCCAACTATTAGAAATCCTACTAGTGTGTCACTTGAAATAAATCATATGTATGTCACATGTTATTTTAGTTGACAGTGTTGAGTATAGGAAGATGGTGCAGGACTTCAATCATTAGCCTTTTTTCTATTATTCTAAGCTTGGATTTTGTGGTGTGAATTGGTTGATTTGCTTGGAGGTTGAGTGTTTAGAAAGCCATGTCTAAGACTCACAATGGTCCCTGCAAGTTAACTGCGTGTGATTTATAGTAAAGCTGTTTGTAGAGAGAGTAAATCACTTACGGGCCCAAGCTGATTGATTTCTTCTTCACTACCCATTTGTCAGGGAGTTGCCTCAGTGCCAGGCACCCTGGAGGTATTAGGGACAGAACTGGGCAGTCTGCAGCAGTGTGGCACAGTTCTTAGTCTTTTACATCAGTTTTATTATTATTTAGCAACACATTTTAAACACGTATTGGTATTTGTTATAAATATTGGAAATAAAACCATGAATGTGTTAGGGATTATTGCTAAAATACTAAATAAGGCTTATTCTTCCCTGATTTAGACACAATCTTTTCAAAAGGAATACAAGGAACCTCATATCTTTTTTTCTCCTTTTTTCCCCCAGAAGGTGAACGTGCATTGCCATCAATACCAAAGTAAGTGCTATTTTGTACAAAAGTTATATCTTAAGTTTAATAAAGAAGCCAAAGAACAATCATAGTAATACAAATGCATTGTTGTTAAGTATTCAGTTTTGGACTAGGAGTATGGCTCAAGTTATACAGTACATGCCTAGAAAGCTCACTTAAAGCCTCCCAAAGGCATTTTATATCATTATCACAAATCATTATAGAAGCCTAGGTAGGTACTGTTCAAGATACTTGGCAGTCAGGAAAACTGAAGAATTGTAGTTTTGGGTGTAATTTTTACTTTTTGATATTACAAGTTTTATAATAGCTGTGCTACTCTATTTTTAAAAAAGAAGTTAAAAGTATACCATAAACCTCATGCTGCTTCTTCTAAATTTTCAGCCAGTGCCTCTAACTGGGGCTAAGAAATAAAAGTTAAAGTTTAGCAAGGAAACAAACAGGAAGAGCGATGTGGGAGGTGCTCAGTGTGCTCCTGAGTGCAAACAGATACAGAGGCTTGGGTGAATAAGGTCATGTGTCTATAATCCTACCTGCTTGGGAGGTAACAGCAAAAAGAATGCAGTCCATGGCCAGCTCAGGATTGAATTCAAGTCTTTGTGCTCTCAGCTATTTAACTCACAACTAATACTCTGCCATTTGAGCCAGGCCTCCACTTTGACTTTTTCTGATTAATTAGAGTTAAGAGTCTCTTTGATTTGTCTGCCTGAGCTGGTTTTGAAAATGATCCTTAAATCTTAGCCTTCTGAGTAGTTAGGAATATATACATGAGCTTCTGGTACCCAGCTTTCCTTTCCTGTTCTTAACAATTATTGTCACCAGGACCACCCAGGCCCAACAGTTCTGAAGCTTGCATGTGGTTGAATACACAGCAGAAATTCTTTGAGCAAAGGGCAAGGGTGTGGAGTGAAGTCTGAAGAAGCCAAGAAGCTTCTAAATGCTCTCTCGCAGTGGAATCCTACTGGATGCACTTGAAGCCGCTAGCACTAACTGGGTTCAGATGTAGGAAGTGTTGTTCAGATGTAGGAAGGATTGGTGCCAGAGGTTTACAAGGACTGGCCACATGTGTACCCTGTGACTAACGTACATCAAGACCATGCTCCCAGAAGGAAACAGGATCCCAGCATAAGCCATGTTGTCAGCTGAGGGAGCCACCCTTCCCAGCAAGGGGATGGTGGAAGCACTCCTGAACTCCAAATCCCCTGGCCCACAGTTGACACTGGAGTGTCACTGGAGTGTCAGAACTGTGCAAACATGAGAGCTAGACCTTCCTGTCCAGCTCTGTCCATCATTCTGTCCTTTCTTAACACTGTAGTTTGAGGAAGAGTCTATTGTAAGTAAAGTTGTCACCTGACTTGCTATGATCTTCAGATAGCTTGCAGCAGCCTACCCAACTATTCTGCTTACATCTCTTACTTTGGCTGCTTGTGTTGTTTTTGGTCTGGGATTTGTTTTTAGACAAATCCTCCACCTCAGCTTCCTGAGCTCTGGGATTATATGCATGCAGGACCACACTTGGTATTAACCTCAGTTTGTGCCACTTCTCACATTCCCTTTTGCTCCATTGACTGTTTTCAGTTGCTGAGCAAATGTTCAGTCTTCCCTGCAATGCTTTTCCAGTGTCCTACACTGCATAGCACAATGTCTACCACCTCTTTCCTAAATCCAGCTTCTCATCCGGGTTTCTTCCATTGCTTCATCTGGAATCCTGAGCCCCGAGCTAGGAAGATTTCTAGTTGCATTTCTCTCGATCATCTCACTTCTGAAAATGATCTCTTGGTGTTTCCATAACCTCCACTAGACAGATCACTCTGACGCTATGAAGCTTCAGTGCACCTCCTGTAAACCCAGCATTGGCAAGATCTGCACGTGGTCAGTGTAGCAGAGCTGTGAGGGAGAGGGAAAGACAGGAAGGACAAGCACAACAGTGAACCCCTCAATCAGCAGTGTTTGGGTGTTATTGGAGAGTGTCTTTTGTCAGGCCAGGAACTCATGCTGGCTTAGAGTATCTTCTGCTTGTGGAAAGCAAAGAAATGATAAGACATACAAGAATCATAAACATTATCTACAAATAGGAAAAGACCTTCAGCTAGAAGGGGTTAATAGACACTACAAAAGCTGAACATACTCATTTTACTTTGTGTCAGTCCTGGGGCTCGAACTCAGGACCAGGGGAGCTGTCCCTAACTTCTTTTGTTTTTACCCAAGGCCAGCACACTACCACTTTGAGCCACAGCTCCTCTTCCAGTTTTTAGGTTGTTAATTGGGGATAAGAGTCTCACAGACTTTCCTGCCTGGGCTGGCTTCGAACCATGACCCTCCGGTCTCAGCCTCCTGAGTAACTAGGATTACAGGCATGAGCTACCGGCGCTTAAAAGACATTTTTAACATTCAGTAATTCCTAGAGAAAATTCTGTACTTTAGCATACTTTCCATTTTCCCATGTTGTGGGTCTGGAAGAGCTCTTTTATGAAAAGACCAAAGTAACTGACATCTAAAAAGCTATAGGGTTCTTTTATATTCTGTGCTACTTTCCAAAAACATTTAGACTCTGATTGTATTTTTTAATAGTTGCCAGAAGCTTTAGCCAAATTTTTTTATTTTTTTATTTTATTTTTTTTGTCGGTTGTGGGGGCTGAACTCTGGGCCTGGGTGCTGTCCCTTAGCTCTTCAGCTCAAGGCTAGCACCCTACCACTTGAGCCACAGTGCTACTTCCGGCTTTTTTCTGCTTATGTGGTGCTGAGGAATCGAACCCAGGGCCTCAGGCATGGAAGGCAAGCACTCTACCACTGAATCAAGTTCCCAGCCCTAACCAAAATTTTATGTGGGTAAAAATGTAATGTTTTTTAGTCATTTAATGAAGTAATCAAATGCATTAAAATTACTTTTTAAGTCTAAATGATACTGTATACTAATGTAGTTCTTAACTTTTTTAATCTGCCATAAGTTCAAGAATGACTTGTCATACTTAGTATGTTTCAAAGAAAATAATTTAGTTCTACGTATGTGGGTTTTTTTACCCCCATAACTTTTGGGTGTTAAAGCAATCTGCCATTTTGAGGACCTCAGGAAGTAGAATCAACTTAAAAAAAATTACTGCCTAAACCATAATCCCTTTGGAATTGCAGTGGCCTAATCCAAGATAGTTCCCTGCTTGATGAGACCAGTGGTTTGGTCCTGCCTGGGATGGGCAGTACTTATCTTTCTTAAATTTATTTCAGGTTGGGCAACAGCGAAAAGCAAGGAGTTCGGACACACACAGTCTCCGTGTCAGGTAAGGAACTTGAAGTAGACTTGTGGAACAAGCTGTAAGAGGTAGGACTGTCCATGACAGGGTTAGGGTGATTGCTTCATTCTAGAATAGCTTGCAAAGATCTTTGCATAATTTTACCATCCTTAAGTAGTTCATAGATTGTATTTATATGAGATATATATGACATTACTCACCAGACTATAGAATTTCAAGTTACTTTTTAGTTTAAATGTCATGTTAGTCATACTTCGAATGAAATTTTTAACTTTTGAAATTGGTTTTATACACTATCTTTAATTCAGCATGCTTTAACAAAATGTGCTTTGTTTATTGTTTCTTAAAGTTCAAGGAATATGGAACCACTTGAAATGGTCTTGTCTTTAACAACTAACATAAGATGGTATTTCGATTTTCTTACATAGTTAAGATGCTAGTCTAAGCTTTATTTTAACTAAATATTGGTGTAGTTAGTGCAGTATACTTTTTAATAGGTTTTCAACTATATGTGCCTTGTTTTCCATCTATACTAAAGATAGAGGGAAAAGGAGTGTGAGGAGAAAGCATCTCCCAAGGGCAGTATATCTTAACATATATCTACTGTGTTGTTTATATGCACACATATTTCCATATGCGTGTCTGTATTCACATACAATCTGTTCTTGGATATAATATATATAATACTATATATATATATATATATATATATCACATATACACATATTTATTTATTGTCGGTTATTAGGCTTGTACTCAGGGCCTTGGTGCTGTCCCTGAGTTTTTTGTTCAAGGCTAGCACTCTACCATTTTGAGCCACAGCACCACTTCTCGTTTTCTAGTGGTTAATTGGAGATAAGAAACTCACGGACTTTCCTGCCTGGACTGGCATTGGACTATGATCCTCTGGAGTAGCTAGGATGAGCTACCAATGCCTGTCATTGGACATATATTTTGTGAACATATAAGTCATATTTCTAAAGTAATACTATCTATATAACTTTTGCATTTGACTTAACATAGACTTGATTCCTGGTTTTTCATGTTTTTGTTTTGTTTTGGGTTTTTTTGTATGTGTGCTGGTCCTGGGGCTTGAACTCAGGGCTTGGGCATTGTCCCTCTGTTTTTTTTCTCAAGACTAGTATTCTACCATTTGAGTCAAAGCTCCACTTCTGGGGAGATAAGAGTCCCATGGATTTCCTGCTGGGGCTGGCTTCAAACTGCAGTCCTCAGATCTCAGCCTCCTGAGTAGCTAGGATTATAGGCACCAGCCACCTGTGCCTGGCTATGTTTGTTTTCAGTAATTTTTCTCTGAAATTTATTGCCTTGTTGATACTGGATTTTTTTTAATTATTTTTTTTTGTGTTGAGTCTTGGACTTGAAATCAGGATCTGAGCATTCTCCTTGAGCTTTGTTGCTCAAGACGAGCAGTAGATTGGTGTTTAATTGGAGATGAATCTCACAGACTTTTCTATCTGGGCTGGCTTTGAACTGGTATCCTTAGATCTCAGTCTCCTGAGTAGCTAGGATTACAGGAATGAGCTATAGGCACTCAGCCTAATTCTTCTTTTTTTAGTGTCCAACATAAAATGTAACTGTTTTTGTTGTGCACAAGCCTTTCAGAAGCCCTTTCTCCAGAAGTATATTTATATTTAGACACCTGACAGACAACCTGGCAGTGTACCATGTAGGGCACTGTAATAGAATAATTCCTAAGGAGTCGTTATTTTGCTTTCTCATGGTGGAAAGAAGCTCTCAGTGCTGGAGCTTGTCTGACCAGCGTCAGGTTGCTGCACATTCTGTGAGCCTAGCCCAGGATTTAGAGAGTAGCCCTAGGCTTCCAGAAGGGCTAATGGTGCCCAGCATTTGTGCTTGTTTTGTCTTTAATGGGTACAGGTACACACTTGACTGACTCACCAGAACCCCCTGTGGTTTATGCTCTGGGAGACATAGGCTTCCACATCTCACAGTGGGTGCCCAGAATAGAAAAGCAGCCACTGGACCTCTGGGATGGTTTGCAGAAGAGGTGAGGTTTGAATGGTACTGCAGTCCATTGTCACCCAGTCCTAAAAGTAACTTTGAAGACAAGCCCAGAGATTGGCGACAGCCCCAGGCATGTACCTGCCACATACTCCTCACAGGCACCCCAGGCATGCGAGCGAGCTGAAATGTTCTCCCGGGCTCAGGAATGCTGTTGCTGGTGCTGTTGCTATATTCAGATGGTGGACAGTAAGGCCTCATGGACCCTCACTAATTGCTTCATCAGCATCCTTCATTCTTCACATTTAACCCTCCCCCCCCCCCCCCCCCCCTTTCTGGCTCTTTCAGCAGCTGGTGATCATCAAACTCTGTTTTACCTTCCCAGCCACCCCTTCTTCTTGCTGATCCCATTTTCATCCATGTCAGAAGAACATAAAGAAGAAGTGCCTTCCAATGCACACTGCCAGGAGCCTCTGTGCACTTGGTTCTGTTTTATGTTCTATATTCTTTTCATGGATTAACCACATCCTTACACCAGACCAATGAGACAATTTCCCATACTAGGCAGATGAGACTAATGCTCAGAGAAATTAATGTAATTTGCTTGCAGTTAGTTAGCAAAACGTGTCTGTCTTTAACCCTTAATTTCTCATCTTTAATCTTTGTTTAAAAAAATGCTCTTAAAAAGCATCAGTATCCAGTCAGTGTTCAAATTTTTCTGCCTTATTTTCATATTTGGTTTTGTTTCAATAAAAGTCAAACACAAGTAATGCTCATTGAATTTGCTTCCTGCCTGGCCTCTGTTGTTATATAGGCCTTCCTGTTTTAATTTCAGCTTATCCATGGTGATGGTGGCACTTACCTGTAGTTCCTAGGTTCTGGATTTGGCTGATTCTATTTCTGTGACATTATTTGGCTTAATCTGTTTATCTCTGGCTCCTTTATTTCCTGTATGCTGTTGTTAAGAACTAGAGAAGTTTGACACTAGTTCTTTGCCCCCTGCAAGAATACTTTACTTCCTAGATGATGTGTACCAGTCAGGTTGGGTGACATTAAGATGGATCAGAGGGTGGGAGTCTCTTCAGCCCTGATCCATTGAATGTAATGTTTCTACTGAATGGTTTTAGCAGCTTTTGATGTAAATGCCTAGTTTTCACTATAGGCATCAAAGATGGAGGCCTGACAAGTCTCAAAATCTGTCATGTTTCCTGTCTTTGGCAGGAATATTTCTGAAGCCCCTCCTTCTCATCAGCCTCTTGGTTACACGAGGAGACATAGCTTTAGCCTTTCCTTTATTTTTCAGCTTTTAAAATAGCAAACTTCACCTCTGTACTCAATTGTTATTTCTGTTCTTTGGGACATCCTTTGGGACATGATTATGAATTCATGGCTTTTTAGTCATATGGAGGTGGGGGCAACCCCATGGCTACTACCCCAGATTAAATGCCCAGCTGGGAAGGCTTTGTAGAGCAGAAAACTCAGGTCATATTCAGCAACACACACGCACACAAGCTCAGGTACTGAGGAACGGTGCAGCATTGAGTGGTATGATCAGAGCTACATGGATAGCTAGAAACACAAAGCAAAACAGTGTTCCATGTTCTGTGCCCTTTACCCCTGCTTTTGTCCATTCCTGCACAGGACCCTCCTACCTACTATGACCCTTAGGGTATCTTCCGCTCTGTGTTCACTTTCTGCCTTTGCTTTGCTCCTAATGCCTTTCACCTGAGCTTTCCAGGACTCCTGTTCCCATAGTCCCCACTCTGGGCTTGTTAGCACCTTCCTCTAGTGTTGACTGGTCCTTTCGCTGATGGAATGGGTGCTACGTCACACCCCTGCGGCCCTGCAGCTGGAGGTTACTACTCAAAAAGCCTGCTTTGAATCCCATGTATCAGAGCAAGTCCCTCCTATACTCCCCAAGAGTGTGAGCACCCATGCTAGTTTTGGAGGGTCCCTTGCTCATTGTCTGGTGGCCCCTGCTTCTCACAGCTCCTCATTGCTCTGGTGCCAACACTGGCTTGGATCTAGCCACTTACATTTTTCTCCTCTAGAGAGCTCCTCTCTTGATTGCACCTTTGTTCGCTCATGGTATTCACTGAGTACTCATCAACAACAGCCCTCTGACCACTACTGGGGCGCCACTACATGGGCCCTGTCAGCTCACCTCCCTGTCCCCTCTTAAGTCGTCCCACCTCTGCTATAGCCGAGCGTAGCCTCACTGTGACCACATGCTGTGCCTGGGCGCAACTGACTTGTCCACACACTGTCCCACAGCCATGTCAGACTCTCCTAAGCCAACAGCACCTTCTCCACCATCCTCCTAGCAAGTGTGGCACTTACTGGGAGATTTTATAGGCAAAAAAGATGGTCCATGTGTGCCTTTGACTGCCTGTTGGCATCAAAATCTGTATGCCCTGTTGTCCCCAGCCAGCTAACTCCCATCAATCCAGCTCTGGCCTCTGCTGCCTCCTCTCCTCTTCTCTTACCAACCTTTTCCACTCGCTGCTGGTTCTTTTCCCTTGGCACATGGCATGGCTTCCTCCCCCCCACTCCACTCCCTTCACAGCAGCACTCAGCTGACCAGGGCCTGCTTCAGTGCCTCCTGTCAAGGCTTCCAGAATGCCACATTCCTCTCACCTCACTGCCCACCCTTCCTGCACCCTTCCTGCCAGCCTCAATTCCACTTAGGGGTTTCTTTGTGTTTATGGCGTATATAAGGTGGTTCCTCCTAGCTGCTCTTCAATCCCAGACTCTCCTGGCCCCCAGATTCCAGGGTTATTCCTTGCACACTTAGAAAGCTAATGAGCTCTTCACTTGACACTGCCCCCATTTTACATGAGAGAAAGCTGAGAAATGGAATTTGGATAATGTTCTGAAAGTTGGCAAGTAGACACTGATGATGAACTCCTGTCTCCACAGAGAGCCTGCACCCCGCCTCCCCCACTCCCTGGGCAGCTCACCATCCTCCACAGGTCCTTTGGATGATCCCCTCTGCTTCTCCCACATCCAGACCTTGGCAAATCCTAATTGTCTCAAATCCCTGCACC